GTGCTTTGTATGAGCATAACAGGCGTCCAGGGTTTCCGGGTTTATGGATCTTGGGTAGCAGATAGAATACTCCTGGTCGGGGTTCTGGGGGTGTGTCCATGTAGATTTGTTCCCGTACTGTAGCTGGGAATTTCTTGAGCAGATGGTGTAGTTTCTTTTGGTATTCCTCAGTGGGATCAGAGGATAGTGGCCTGTAGAATGTGGTCTTGGAGAGTTGCCTGGCAGCCTCCTGTTCATAATCCGACCTTTTCATTATGACTACAGCACCTCCTTTGTTGGCCCCTTTGATGATAATGTCAGAGTTGTTTCTGAGGCTGTGGATGGCATTGTGTTCTGTACGGCTGAGGTTATGGGACAAGTGATGTTGTTTGTCCACAATTTCACCCTGTGCACGTCTGCGGAAACACTCTATGTAGAGGTCCAGTCTGTCATTTCGACTGTCAGGAGGAGTCCACGCAGAGTCCTTCTTCTTGTAGTGTTGGTAGGAGGGTTCCTGTGGGTCAGTGCACTGTTCAGTGGTGCATTGAAAATATTCCTTGAGTCGGAGATGACAAAAGTAGGCTTCCAGATCACCGCAGAACAGATTTTCCTGGAAAGACCACATCATTCAGATCCTTTTTCAGGATCTGAGAAAACAGGGAGGGTGATTCCGTATACCCTTGAGGTAACCGAGTCCAGGTATATTGGCGTCCCTTGTAGGTAAAGGCCGAGATCATCCTCAGGAAATGTGTCTGCGGCAGAGAACATTCCTTCTGGAGAGGAAACCCAACCACTATCCTATCTTCCTCAAGGGTCGGGGGCTGTTCCCGATTCCACCAGCACTACCACCTTGTCCCCCATCTCTAACCAGAGTCACCAGAGCCAGTCATCAGTAGTCCAGGCTCCCTTAAGACAACTGCCTGGGAATGGGAATAATTTGGTAACTGTGCATGCCCCTTGGACACCGGGCGATCTTAGAAATCTGGTCAAGGAATTCCCTAATATGAGGGAGGAGCCAGAAAAATTTAGAGAAGAACTCCAGACAGTGATTCAGTGTTATAATGCATGTTTATCTTTGTTCAGCTTTCTTTTCTATTCCCATTCACCCCGATAGCCAATATTTATTTGGGGCCAGGTATTCTGGGGTCCCACACAGAGTCCAGGTTCAGTCTTTCACCTGCTTGGCAAAACCAAAATCTGTCACCTGGAGCCGAAACACAGAGAGGGGAGAAGCTGGATCAGCCCAGAGGCTGTGACAGCAGGAGGGGAAGGGGAGGGAGCAGATGATTGATGTATTCTGGCTGTGTTACATTTCTGGGGGTGTCTTCACTTTGGGAAGGGGATGGCAGCAGAGAGAGACTTGGGCAGGGAGAAGATCACTGCAGGGAGCCAGGAGCTAGCACTGGGATAGGGAAGGAAAGGAGTGGGAGATGGGCAACAGCATCACCTTGATGTGGCACTGCTGGTCTATCAGGAGATTCTCTGGCTTCAGGTCTCGGTAGATGAGATCCAGCGCGTGCAGATACTCAAAGGTCAGGACGATCTGAGCAGCGTAGAACCTGGTGTGAGGTTCACTGCAATGAGGTGGGAGGAGAACGTGGGCATCCTGGGTCAGATCCGCCCCCTCTCAGCCAGCCCAGCACCCTCGGCCCCCTGCCGCCCCCACCTTCACCTTCCTTATAGATCCCAGACTCCATCTACCCTGGCAACCCCAGGCAAAATGCCCCAACACTTCTAGGCCTGGTGGCCCCATCTGCCCTAGCCAGACCACTAGCCCTAGCACACACGTCCCACCCATCATTGCTAGACCCCTGACTCCATCCAGCCTGGCAACCCGGGGCAAGTCCCTCCCAGACCAGCATCTCCCCCCTAGCCTCAACACACACACCCATGGACTCCCAGCTCCTTCCAGCCTGACTCCATCTAGCCCTGGCATCCCTGGCCACTGACTGTGGCTAGTGCTGGCAGAAGACCTCAGCAGCCCTCCCCATGGGGAATCCCTTCTTGACCAACCCAGCTGGGGAACAGGTCACACCCTGCAGCATGAGGATCAAAGCCAGCATCGCTGCAGATGCTGCTAGTGGATAAAAGGTCTAGTTCTCTACTGAACTAAATCCCAAATTTACATTGTGGAAACAGAGGCACAGAGTGATTCTCCCCTCTTCCCACAAGGAGTGAATGGCAGAAGCAGGAATAGAATACAGGAGTCCCGACTCCCAGTCCCTCTGCTCTAAGTGCTAGATCCCACTCTCCTCCCTGAGCCAGGGAGACAACCTAGGAGTCAATCTGCCACCCAGCTCTAACCAGTAGCGACACTGTCCCCAACATCGGCTCCCGTGGCAACGCTCACCTGAACCCCCCAATCCGCCGTAGGTGGGAGAACATCTCCCCGCCCGGGATGTATTCCATCACCATGTACAGATTGGAGTTATCCTAGAAGGAAATGCAGCAGCCACGGAGTGCAAAGGACAGAGCCACTCTGACCCCCTGTCAGCGCCTGCGACACCGGTATGAAACTGCTCACCACACCCCTGCTCCTTTATTAGCCCCATCCCTTTCCGGCGCTAACGCCACATGCCTCAAGGGAGCCTGATGCACTGGTCTGGCTTCCACATAGCATACAATGCAGTACACCCTCTGTCTGGGAGATAACAGCCTACTACTGCGGCCAGCTGCTGCTGTTATTCCTTTAGCTCAAGGGCCAGAGGGGCTGCGCTGTGGTGCCGAAGGTCCCAGGCTCACACCTGCAGTGGAAGTTGCTGCACAGACGCGGCTGGGGAATAGACTCACTAATGAGAGGGCGCGAGCTTTATTTGCTTGGAGTATTTAGTGCTAGAGCCCTAGAAAATCCAACCGCTCCCCATACCTCTGGTCTAGGGGCAGGGACCGGCAGGCCCAAGAGGGATTTCCCACCTGTGACGTCTACGATCAAAGGGGAAACCCAACCTGCCGCCAAGTCGGACACCCCAAAGCAGCAGAAGCAGGAAGTGAAACTTCTCAAAAGCAGAGTGTGAAATTGACCAGGCTGGCTTCATCCTCCCTCAAGGCTGCAAAGTCAAAGAGCAGCCTCCGAAGTAAGTCCGCTGAGCCCAAAAAAGCCATTCCACTAGTGAGACCCTACCTGGCTCGGTGGTGAGAACATGACCACTAAGCACCCGCGCACGTGCCAGCGGAGACCACTGCCCCTGCCCTCGAGCCCAGGGTCAATTTCCAGCTAGCCCTGGAGAGAGGGTCCAGGCGGGGCATGGGCTGAGCACCCCATGCTGTACGGTCGGAGGCCTTTTTCTGCAGCCAGATTAGGAGAGCAGGAGCCAAGAAGCAGAATGTCACATCCTCACATTCCAGCTAAATTATATCAGAACAATGGAATACCGGGCTGGTAAGAAGGCTCCTGTCCTAATAGTGCCCAGCATCACCAGGCAAAGAAACAGATCTTAGGATGCTCAAAGGAATCACTTAGCAGCAGTGTGGGTGTGAAATCTCTACTTCTTGACTGAAAAGTTTCAGAGTAGCAGCCGTGTTAGTCTGTATCCGCAAAAAGAAGAACAGGAGGACTTGTGGCACCTTAGAGACTAACAAATTTATTAGAGCATAAGCTTTCGTGGATGCATATGCATCCGAAGAAGTGGGCTGTAGTCCACGAAAGCTTATGCTCTAATAAATTTGTTAGTCTCTAAGGTGCCACAAGTCCTCCTGTTCTTCTTTTTACTTCTTGACTGTTTTCCATTGCTGGTCCCCACTTCTCTATTGTTTATCTGTCTGCTTCTTTGATTGTTTCTGTTACATAACTAATTTTGCCAGGTGTACATCAGCTAAAGTGGTGGTGTACGACTGGGTAAAGAATTGTTTCACACTACGTTACGATTGGTCAAAGAATTATTTTGTAATACTTCAGTAAAATGATTGGTTAAAGTAGAGCTAAGCAGGACTCAAGTTTCACTATATGAACTGGGTCTAAAAGGAAGATCTTGGGAACCAGCTCCAGGACACAGCCCAAGACCAGAGCTGCGAGACCTCAACACACTGCCAATGACACCGGACAGAAGCTGGAGTCCCAGGACAACCTGATTCTGACTGGCCAGCAGGGAAAGTTCGTCAGCCTTATTGGGAGTGATGGGCATTGTATGAGTAGTGTGTGTATTCTGTTCTGGTAACTGTGACAAAGTGGGGGGTTTCTTGGTTTTTCCTTGTTTTTTTCCAATGGTTTGCATGTAGCGGGGGTGGGACTCAGTTTCCCTGGGTGTTACTGCTTTAACGAGGTGATGGGAGAGGGAGTTTGTTGTTACAGAGGACAAACGACAGAACTTGGGACCCCAGCCTATGGCCTGGAGAATGGATACCCCAGCAACTGGTGACCTGGTGACCAGGAGGCCCAGCTCGGGAGTCACAGCTGGTTCTGGCCAGTGGGAAGACAATGGGCTGTGAGGAGACGACCCCATCACCTGACCAGGCGGTTCCAGCCACAGGGGGCCAGAGGACGGCTGAGAGGAGAGAAGGCCCAGGGGACCCTGTTTACCAGGACAGAAGACAAAGGACATAGGGGGACTTGGGAGAGGTGATATCAGAAGCCCAGGTGGGAAGCAGGGGGGCTTGGGACTGGAGAGAGAGAGCAGACAGAGCCCACCTGGATGCAGGCGAGATGTGGATGTGTTGTGCTGAGGGAGGCCAGGCCTGAGGGCCCTGAGAGTTTCCTTTGCTGTGTTCAGACGCTCAATAAACCTCCTGTTTTACACTGGCCGAGAGTCGCTCTGGTCTAGAGAACAGGGTTGCATTATTCCCTCTGGGAGGGGAGGCCCCGGGGGATCCAGAGCAAGTGGACTCCCTGAGGAGGCCCACGGTGAGAGACAGGTGTGCTAAGGCTCAGAGAGGTGCGGTTCCAGGAGGTGGAGGGGCTTAACCCCGGAGAGAAAGTGGACCCCCAAGAAGGGCTGTCACACTGAAGGGGATTCCCCCAGGGACTGCACGGGACCAAGAGTGGGCAAAACCTGTGAGTCCATGACAGTAACTGTTAATAAACAGAGGTTAAGGATATTTCTGTGTGAGGCTCTTTCACTGGAAAAGACCCTGCAAACCCGCAGAGTGTGAGGTGACGCCCTGAGCCCACAGAAGGGTGAGGCTAGGTGCCTAAATTAAGAGGGTTACGCCTTGAGCCCCAGCAGCAGGGTAAAGGTGGGTGCCCTAGAGCGTAAGGGGAACAATGCCTGAACCCTGCTGTCTCTAAGGGGAAGAAAGGAAGCTCAGCCTTGGCAGGACGGCCCGTCATTGGTCTCCCTGCTCAGGCAGTTCTGGTCTGCGTGACATGAGCCTTCCTGACCCTCTACCAACTAAACAGGCCCCAACACCCTAGTGGTATCTTGATGGGGCCCAGTCAGCACGTACCAGGCCAGATTCCTAGCTCAGTGGGGTAAATCCAGAGCAGTCGCATTGATTTCAACTAAATTCTCCCACATTTACACCCGTGGATTCAGCTATTTATTTTACGCTGTCGTAGGAGAATTGACTGGCTCTGCGAGCCAGCCTGTGTAACAGCAGCCACTGGCCCCACTGCTACTGTGTCACCCGAGAGCTACACGGCACGGAGCAGGGGTGACATTTCCATTGAAGCAGCTTCTGCAGACAAGGGGCCAGGGATCAAAGCTATTTAACGCTAGAACAATGAGGGGCCCCAAGAAAACGACTCCGCCAGCACTGCCTGCTGCTAACATGCCCATCACCCTAGCCTCCAGGCTCCCGCAGGGGCTGCGATTTATCCTGCAGCCTTCTCTGAGCTGACGACTCTTCGTTGCTACAACCCACTAACCTCAGGCTGACAGACAGGAGACAGATCTCCCTTCAGAGCCAGCCCCTCTTTAATCAGGCCAGCCACAGGGAGTGCTGTGGAGCTCAAAGGCACAACTATCTTTGCTCTCCCCCCTACACACAGTGTGTAGCTCACAGGCCCCAAGATCCAGGTTCAGGGAAGAGGGTCCAAGCCCCATCACCGGGGCCTGAGTTTTAGCTTTCACAGAAACTCCATCAGGAGGAAACGATCCCACATGATGGTTCCAAAGTCTCCACAAAGCCAACTGTGCATGACATTAGGCCTTCTTCTGAGACTCCCCCCCAAGCCAGACCTCATGCCCGAGGGGCCAGAGCATGGGAGCCGGAAACTGAAACTGACTAGGAACGAAAGCAAAACTGACCGGGTTGGAGGGGGGCGGAAGTATCACTGTTCAAAACCTGGAGTCCAAAGCAAAACAGAAGAGACTGAAAAGGGGGAATGATTTTTCTTAGCTCCAAACCTGATCCCAGACGTCATGCCAGGAACATTTGTTCTCAAGATACAAGAAACACAGACTGTGCCCTTCGACCCCTTCAGCACAGCTTTGGTTTTAAATAGGAAACGAATCAAGGGGATTGTGGGAGTCGGGGGGGGGGAGAAACAGTCGAGGGCCAGGCTGGCAAGCAAAGGATACCTACCTTGAAAGAATATTCTAGCTTGATGAGTAATGGAAAGTTGACGGCCTGGAGGATCCGTTTCTCGTTGAGGGTGTCCTCAATTTGTTTGAGCTTCACTAGCTGGAAGAAAAAAGGAAATAGCAAGATCAGATCTTCCTCTGCTGGCGCAGCACCCCCTGCGCCTCCCATGCACTCCCCTCTCCTGCATCCCCACGCAGGGTTCAGCTCCAAATCCCTCCCCCACACTGGGGATTCCACGGACCCCCAGGTCAGATCTCCGCAGCAGCCCCCAGCGTCTCACCTTCTGTTTATCCAGGATCTTCATGGCATAGTGATTCCCGGTCTTTTTGTGTTTCACCAGCATCACCCTCCCAAATGAGCCTGTGCCCAGGGTCTTGATTCGATCAAACTGATCCAAACTGGCTGTGTTCTGGAAGGGGAAAACAAACCTGATGGGGGGCCAGACTGGTCCTGGGGGCATCAGGAAGGAACCTACCCGGGACAGTGGGATTTGCACTGCAAGACTGGAGGGGTCTTTAATGACCAAAAGGGGGTCAGAGCTTCGGTTTTAATAGCTCACCAGAAATGCAGCCCCTCCAGGGTCAGCACTGACTGTGACAAGAGAGCGCCCCTTACTGAGCCCCCCACTGCCTGCAGCGCAGCACCCCCTAGCAACGCACTCGGATTGTTCTTGAGAACATTAATTTGAAGAAGTAGATGTCACATTTCACCACCAGAGGGCGCCAAAGGAAACTGCTACATTTTCAATGAGACACAGGCAAGGCATTCCCTGCTCCTTGGGCAGAACCAAAATCCAGTTCCAGACAGGCGACCCGCCCAGCTCCATTCAGTGGGGACTGGTGCGTTAGAGGCGGGGGAGTGGCTGGGAGTCAGGACTCCTGGGTTCTAGCCCTCGGTCTGTGAGGAGAGGGAGTGAAGTGTAGTGAAGTGTAGTGGTCAGAGGGCAGGAGAATAGGAGTCAAAAGATCACCACCAACTTCCTATACCCTTGACCAAGTCCCTTTCCCCTTCTGGGCCTCAGTTTCCCCATCTGTGTCATGGTGTTAATGACACAGGGTATGTGGGAGGACTAGCAAAGTGACAGTGCTGCAGAACCACCCTGGGCGGGATTTCCAGTGGGGACAGACCCAGGGCTGACCCCAAAAGCTTTTCCGGCACTGACAAACTGGGTCACTGCGCTCAAGTGCAGGCAGCAAATGGAGGCCCTTTGAACAGGGTCCCTGTTAGCACAACCCCCCTGGGAGCCAATCTGGGGCTCGGCTGGACGACCACACTGGGGCCTTGGGAGGAGGATGGGGGAGGGGGAGACAGGCTGGATCAGGTTGAGTCCCACATGGTTAGTGTCCCCCTCCCCCAGCAGAGTGGAGTTGAACCTACAGAGTTCTTGGCACTTCAGTTACCAAAGGGCAAATTGGGGATTGGGGCAGGGGGGGAAGAAGAGCACTCATCCCCGCCCCCCAGGAGCAAAAATAACCCCAGACCCTCAGCGGAGACTGTGTGGCAAGGTGGCTCAGTGATGGGGAAAGAGATCCAGGGGGTGATTGCAGAGTAATCAGCCTGGGGCTACAGAGACCTTGATTAGGGGGGGGGGTGGAGTGATCTGGGTTGGGGTACAGTACCTGGGAGGGGTTCTCCCATTTCTTGAGGAAGTCTCCTTTGGCTTTGGCTAGGAACTCCTCCATTGTAAGGGAAACAGAAAGGGAGCAGCGTGAGGAGTCAGGAGGGGTGGGGCACCCAGTCTGGTGGACAGACCTCTGCTTTCAGCTCCCCCCCTTCCCCCCCCCGCTCAGCGAAGAGGCATGCAGTCACAAAGGGGGCAGGGATTTTAAGCGTATGAGCGGAATGGCGGTGCCTGATTGGCTACAAAGGGTGGCTCAGCTGGGGATTGGCTAGAGAGAGGTCCATGTGGGGCCGTTCCCGCAACACCCCCACCCCCGGGCCTGCCGCTGGACACACCGAACAGCACTGTCAGGGAGGGCTAATGCAGCCCCCAGCGCCTACAAAAGGGGGGGCACTTGTGCCTCTACCCCCCTGCTGAACATACCACCCTAATCCTCTGCCCCAACCCTGAGCCCCGTCCTGCATCATGAACCCCTCATCCTCAGACCCACAACCTCACCCCTGCACCCCCTCCTATCCCCAAACTCCCTCCCAAACTTCCTCCCCTTCCCACACACACCCTCCTGCCCTCAAACTCCCTCCCAAAGCCTGCACACCATCCCTTTGCACCGCCTCCCACCCCCAAACTCCATCCCAGAGCCTGCACCCCTCACCCCCTCCTGCAAAACCACCCCCTGCCCCAGCCCGGAGCCTGCACCCAGCACCCAAACTCTATCCCAGACTCTGCACCCTGCACCCCTCCTGCACCATAATCCCCAGCCCAGGATCTGCACCCCAGACCTCCTCCCCCCATCCAATCCCCCTCCCAGAGCCTTAGGCAGGTGGGGGGCAGGTTCTGGGCACCACCAAAATTTCTACAAACCTGCCACAGTTTCATTCACCTGCACGTCCACCAATGTTATATATGTTATATATGCCATCATGTGCCAGCAATGCCCCTCTGCTATGTACATTGGCCAGACTGGACAGTCACTACGTAAAAGGATAAATGGACAC